TTGATGGCGTATGTTTTGTAAGCTTGTTTATGTAGAATGGTTTTATTAACGGAATTTCTTTTCCATAAAAATAATTTTCGACTTAACATTTTCTTGATATTTTTAGGGTAATGATGACTCTTTTTACTATGACGTATTTTTCTTACCGGAACAAAACGGTCTATCCCAATTCTCATATGATTATATAAAATGTTCCAATATTCATCAATATTGAATACATAAGAAAACTCGTAGTCCCAATTAATATTCGAAAGGTAAATTAGAAAGTTATTTATATCAGCATTGATGAAATCATAAAAATATTCCGATTTCTTTTCGTACTGATATTTATCGTGAATGTTTAAAGAAAAATGGACTGAGTTATGGTCGCTGGTACTAAAAGGGCACTCAACAGAAATTTTACTTAAAAGAGCATTGTTATTAGAAAAAACAAGGTCTAAAATATTGGATTCGCGTGTTGCTTCGTGAACAAATTGATGCATATCAAGACTATTGACAAGAGTTAAAAATAAGCTATGACATTTTTCGTTCGGTGAGGTGTAGTTTAGCCAGTCAATTTTTGGTAAGTTAAAATCACCCACAATAATAAATTGAGACACTGAGTAGCACAAATCGTTTATAATTGACATCATAGAGACGAGATAGCCAAAATCTATTTTGGAATAAGAATGTGGACGGTAGCATGTAATTTAACGATGTTTGAGGGCTCCAAAGACTAAGTCAACGCAGATAATATCAACATCATTATTGTTTTGAGTAATCGCAACTTGTTCGGACTTAATATCATGTCGACAATAAATAGCGACTCCTCCTCCAATTTTCACACGGTCTTTACGATAAATTGAATAGCCATTAGGACAAACAATATCATTAGTTAGTTTATTGTTAAAAAAGGTTTCACACACGCATATTAAAGCTGGGTTGACTACCTCTGTATATAAATTAAATTCACGAAGTTTATAAGCAAGGCTTCTGGCATTAAAAAGATGAACATATACTTTATTTGAATTATTTGTCGGGCTTATTTTAAAGTTATTATTAATGTTTAAATTTTTTTATTTTAAACAGATATTATTTTTTTTCTTGTATAAGAAATTATTAGACTTGATCTTTTTGGTTAGTTTTAAACTTGACAATTTGCTCATCTTTGATAATAAACCAAAAGGGCTGGTTCTCAGCTAGATTATTTAATCTCTTTCTTTCTGCGAATAATTTTTTCTTACTCTCTCGTTGAGGTAACGTAAGGTCTGGATTAATATAAACTTTGTTTTTGTATTCGTTTATTTTACATAATTTCCTGGCTTCCTTGATTACTTCGTGCGCTGATTGTTTATCCGTCATTTCTACAATTATTATTCCTGGTTTATTATTTTTAGAATTAAAACAATGATGACGTTTGATTTTGCTATTATCTAATTTAAGTACATCAAAAATTTTGTTAAGCGCTTTTTTATCGCCGTCTTTTATTTTCTTAATATCTGTTTCTTTTGATTCATCAACGCCAAAAACTCATATATTTTTCTCCCTTTTTATTCTATCTACGGTTTCAACGGAGACACCGTTAAGAAGATGAGCAGTCGTTTCTTGGTCGTTTATTCCTGTCGTTTAATATATATATATATATATATATATATATATATATATATATATATATATATATATATATATATATATACCCAGCCGGCATTATTACGTTGTTTCAACGTTGAAATTCGGTTGAAGCGTTGTTTCAACGTTGTTCAACTATGTCACAACGTTAAATTAACGTTACCGTTTAAACGTTGAGTATTTAACGTTAATTTAACGTTAAATCAACGTTACCGTTTAAACGTTGATTATTTAACGTTATTTCAACGTCATTATTTTTTCTTTTTTTTTTTTTTTTTTTTTTTTTTTTATTCAACCATATCAATAAAATTTACAAATTTCATCGTAAGCTAATATAAATTGGTTAGGTGTCACTCATATAGTTACAAACTAGTCAATGGAGTGACACCTAAAAAACATAAAAATTTCACGAAAAAATAAATAAATAGAAAGAAAAAAAAAAAAAAAAAAAGGAAACTGAAGTAAAGAGAACAAAAAAAAAAAAAAAAAAAAAAAAAAAGAAAGGAAAAACTTAATATCTGTATATATAAATAATAAAGAAAAGAAGAAAAGATTGTTAAACAAACAAAAATGATATATGTAATAATAATAGTAATAATACAAAATATTAACAATAACAATAAAGTACCAATAATATTAAGAATATTATAATACAATATAAATTGTATGTACAAATCATAGATGAAATTCAATCATTGTTGACAAAAAATACGATATAAAATTTATGCGCGCGCAGAAATGGAAGTAAAAACGTAAACATTATTTCAACGATTAAAGTTATAGAGATTTATAATGGAAAAAAAATGTAAATACTGAACTTATATCATATAAAATTTTCAAGAGATCGAAAACATGTTCAGACGATTTTCCTGAAAGAACATTATCATTTTAAAATCGATATTTTTTGTTTAACTTGGGCTACAATGCTCAAAGACTGATATTATTAAATGTAAATATAAAACAGCTTTTTCAAAAAATGATCCATTAAATTATGTTGAATTTAATGCTAAGCGTTGTTTTTTAATAGAGCCTCAAGAATTAAAAAAGGAAATTGATAACTTTAAAAAAGAACTTCAGCACGAAATAAAAAAATAAAGATTTATTTGAAAAATTAACTTCAACCACATCAGTTATTACTATGAAAACAGACAAACTTGTATATAAACATAATCCAAACAAATCGTGTTATTGCAATTTACTTGTATACAAACATTTATTTTAAAAATAATAGATCTTGCGACTTTTATACTGGCCTTACATCTGTCAATGTGT